AGTTATAGTAAGGCCTGCGCACAGCTTCAGTTTTAACTGTGCAATTAAAACTGAAGGTAGTAGGTGGTGTCGAAGAGTAATTTCTAACAGTTCGGTTGTTTTGCTAATGCTATTTGTGCTGTATTTTGATCATAAATTAACTACTCAATGTACGCTAGAACAAACCAATGCAAGCGCGACTAAATTATTGAGTAAGCGGGTATTAATTGAACACCGCGGCGAAATGCTGGACCACTATTTGCACAGTTTAGTTATACACTATACACATTCATAACAATTGAATCGAACATTGAAGCCAATCTTGCGTAGGTGATAAATGTCAGACTAAATAAACTGTGTTTAACTTCGATTTACAAGACGTCGTAATGTCAAATTTCTTAAATTAAATCCCATTTAGTTAGTTTAATTATTTTATATAAAAAATCATTGTTCCTTTTGTCAACACGGAGACAAATGTGCCGATAAGTCATTGACACATTCTGTTATGGACAAGTTTACGTCCATTTCTGTTTCAGTTCCTTACAATACGTAATCTTGGTATCAAGTAAACGCAATGTATGTCACCTATAGTATGAACTCAAATAAATATAGCTAATAATTTTAATCTAAATACAATTTAATATAAACCTTATCAAAGTTACAATACGGTACAAAATGGCTTATGCTAGTATCAATAGAATACCATTGAACAAGACATGCTAGACACGTTTAGTAGATAGTACGAATATTGTCTCATGTTAACACTCGTGCTTGTAATCAAAGCCTAGATTTATAGCGACCGTGTGACGTCACTCGGATAATTAATCGATGTTGCGACAAACATATGTTAGCTCTATAACAATTAAATGCATTGTCAACAACATAACTATTACTATACCATATTAACTAGATAGAAAAAAAACTCAATATATAAGAACATATTTAAAAACGTAAGTGATCCATAAATTTACATATAAAGAGCAGACGTAATGAAAACCTTTTAATTTATCCTCTAAAGTACTTTGTTTTTAGACTTCGAATGGTGTAATAAAGAATTTAGAGCTAAATATATTTTGATTGGGTTTTTTATGCAAACAATAGATTTAGATGATACCTTGGACCCATAACTATAACCGATATTTAAACAGCTTTTGTATTCTTCCAGATTATGCTTTTCATCAATGTATATTCATCCATCCATCTAAATTTTACTATTTATAATATTAGTAAGATTAAACACAAAGCTTTCTAAACTACAACAATGAGTATAAAGGTATTGTTTAGTCCTCCTCTAATATCGACAGCCGAATAATAAAATGAATCCAGCCCCGACCTCATGGTAGTTTCACACGAGGGCAACACAGTAGACAGAACAGTAATCTTCTATCTCTAGTACTTCCTGCCTCTCCGTTATACCTTCGTGTGAAACCATTATCAGTGCCGTCGCGATCATATTTCATTGTCCCGGAATTTATCGTATCTCCTCGGCTTCTGTTGTGACGTAGTCAATGGCGCCCTTTGTAGAACTTATGCCAATTAATTAATCTATTTAATTGAATGTCGTTTATTATCTAAGATATTTTAAGTTCAATCGATAGAATTAGTTTTACTTATAAATCTAAATAACTCTTGTTAAATGTTAAATGTTACTTATCAATAAAGTTTATTAAAAATATTACTTGTAGTAAAATTATAATATTTTATTCATTGACAACGTAGGCAGCATATCACGTAAATATGAACGTGAGGGCTTGTAGCGGAGCCGTAGCGCTGTCGTAGGCCTACGTGCTACGCTCGGCACTCTGTTCACAAGGCAGTATTTACGATGAAGACGTGCGCCCAAACAACTTCAAACAGATCGAATGTGAAGATTCCAAGTTTGATTTATTGATATCTTATTGAACAAGTCGGTCCCACAACTTATTGACAAATAACCAATAATTATTAATAAAATAATGACTATTTTGAAGTTTTAATATGTATAGATAGAAAGCAACTTAAATCCCATTCCAATAAAGAAAAGTCAAGAAAAGAAAGTCAGCTCTGATAGAAGAAAGGTTTACTTTTGTAAAAGATTAGTTCATCTTATCAATTGTACCTCTAAATATTGTCGGAGTAAATTTCAATCGAATCTAATTGCTACAAAATCTCAACAGTGACTTCCGTCGCCGCTCTACCGCTTCGAGTTTTACCAACATCCGACGCCGCTGCTGCCCTCTGCTGTCCACAACTATTCACTTGAATTAACGTGAAACTTATGTACCCGATTAATCCAAATAAGAAGGAAATTTACAAATTGCGATATTCGATTTCAATATTTACATTAATGAATACTCCAAATAAAAAAATTAATTTCTAATTTCGTCTAACTTATAAGAAAAATACATGATTTAGGACTAACTTAATTAGTGTATAGCGCCACCTATTATTCTAAAAAGAAATTGTTACGAAAGATATCTATTCATTCCTAATAATCGATTGTATCATAATTTGAATAGTTCAGTATTAGCTTTGTACATCTACATTCCTTCCAAATCGGTCAGTTATCCGGAACACTCGTGTCTGCAGTGCGCCGTATGACAGCTATGTCAGATAAGCTGGAAACAGCCGTCTATGTTACAAATACACGCTACAGAAATTGTACGTTAACATTCCCATTGAAAGCTACACATGTTTGACTTCTGTATTATTTTATGTTTTAAGATTCCATCACGACTTTAACTACCAATTGAGTAATGTATTAATCTGCTTAATTAGGGTACTTAATTTTTTCAGACAACGGACTCGGCCGTGCGGGGACTCCTCGCATACGTAACGACTTATTAAAATGATCAGTCGATGAAGGTAAGTATCGTGCGGGGACTCAGTTGATGAATAAAGCAAGGTAAGGAAAAGTTAGGTGTATCTTCCAACATATGCGAGCCCTAACGATAACTAAAATTGCAATAAAAACATCATGAATATCTTCGTGATGAAAATGTCGAGTTTATAAATATTTATTGCATTAAATCCATCAAGAATAAATGTAAACCGACTGCAATTAATTAAGCGAATTTAATTACTTTGATGTCAAAGGCATCGCGCGTTATCGCAACCCGACATACAATTAACGCGCCCACGATTTATTAGCGAAAGATACGTTCGTAGCTCACAGAGTTACAAGAAAATGATTGCATTCGACGACAGTAATACAAATCACTGCTTGAAATGTATTTCAATATTAAAGTCAAGATAATAATAAAATACAGATTCAATAATATTTTTAGGATACTGGATCAATTTAGACTGCTTATAAATTAGATCTACATTAGAGAAACAAAACCTTTAAACAACATTTACCAATTATATTAGTCATAATATAGCAATTCATTTCACAATTCAAAGTATGTAAGGGTATGAATAAATCTATATCAAAGTATATTGCAATTCCCTCCTTACACCTCACACCTCTCTAGGGTACATCGATTGCAGCACGTAAACTTCAGAAAGGCTTTACAAGCAGCACTCGATTCCCGCACGTCCGCTACGCCCCGCTACAGCGCGCACCGCCCCGCAACGCTCTCGTAGCTTCCAATTCAGGAGAGCTTCGCAATATCGATGCTCCAACTCACTAGGAATTGTAATCTTCACTAAGCTCGCCTGACTCCTACACACTGCAAGCAAATTGACTGGTAGAGATATAAATTCCTTTAACACAAGCCAACACGTATTTTGTTAATAGCATGTAAGTTATGAGTATGTAACAAGAATTTATGATTGTGGTAAGATTAAATCGTTATATTAAAAGGCCGGCTAAGAATCTGTAGTTCCTATGGTATTTTTAATGGCAGAGTCAGAGTTCCCGTTGCTCGTTTACCCGACTCTAGTAGTGGATTTACTGTATGCAAAGAACAAATGTACAAACTGCAAACTGCAAAAGAGATAAGCATAACACGAAGTACGTTATTTCTAATTTAACTGTTTTTTCGCTGCAATTTGAAAGCACTAGCTGTCAAGTAAACTAAAGATGTAAAAGAAACTCCAGATATACGAGTCAATCTAGATTGTTTGCAATTCAATAACTCGTCCTATAAAAAATATCTGTTGCTGTAACGCGGCAGCCTCCCGTACACAATATAAATGTTGATATACAGCCTGTAATACTAAAGTCACTATCGGGCCCTCAGTGCGCCGACTGTAAGTTATAGCCCGCGAGTACAATGTCGGATTGCTTCATAGGTTTACATTAGAATAAAACTTTGTCATTATTGTAAACTGTTTTAAATACTAAATTTGACAACAGACTTTTAAGATATTATAAAATCACATGAATGTTATTATCTACATAAAAATCTACGTATTTATATGTAAGCTCTTCTTTCAAATGATTTCACAGAGAACATAAACAGTTTATGACTGCAAAGACACGTAGCTCTTACGTTTATAACGAATTTATTAGTCATAAGATATGTAATAATATAGATCTTTTTCATCATTCTACTTGATAAACCCTTTCGTATACACAAGTTACATTTGGATGAAAACCAATAAAATGTATTTCTAGCATTTTTTTAATTCGAAGATGTATGACGTGTCGAATATATCGTGTTACAATTCTGTGATGTAAAAAGTCTGATTTACAATTCTAATGGCCGAGCAAATATCAGTGAAGGCAGACGCGACGCGACGCCTCCACAAATACATACAAATATGTTTGAGTTACACAGTAGCGATATTCCTATTACCTGATCTCGACGTCGATTTTTCAACGTCGATGTAATCTTCTTGGCATTTCGTGTACGCTGCATGATTACTTTTTTGATAGTAAACATTTTATGATGTTATTATTGTGAAAAAACTTGTTATAGCAAATAATTGGCTGAAAAAAGGGTTTTTATAAATATTATATTATATTATGGAATACGATTTTTTTAATAACACGAGCAATCACAATTTATTATAATAAAAATAACATAACATAGAAAATCAAAGTAACCATAAAACATTATTGAGAATTGTTAATGATGTAAACTAGAATGAGTAAGCATATTTTCTTTTAGAAATCGTTACATGTACAAGTTCAATATCATCCAATCCAATTAGGACAGTTACGTTTGTTTGCGGAACGGAAAGCGAAACTTTCAGTCTGTTAGCGGACCATTTAGCGCCTCCCGCACGTCCCATGTCGCATAGACACAAATGTCATTGTCACATCACAGCTCGACGCGTAAACATAATATCCATAGGCGATATTGTTATTTTTTAAACATGAGTTATAAGTGTATTACGCTGTTTGTTACCTTATCGTTATTCGCAATATGCAGTGCTGCGTTAAGTGAACTCAATGTTATCGAAGGTAGAGGAAAGAAGAAGAAAATCGCTTTATTCGGTAAGTAAACATTATTTTTAAAACAGCTTTAATTACTTGTATTTTATAGTTATTTTTGTTGATTCAACTGACAGTAAATGATGAACGTTTAGAAGTCAAAGGGCTGAATTAAATAATTATTAAATATTGAATTATTTCCAGTGTACTGGGCAGATATTATAGTGAAGAAGATCTTCGTCCTAAAGTTGATATACGCCTTCGTTTTCTTCGTGGTCATCCACAAGGCGGGCTTCTTCCTCTCCTGGTTCATCAGCTACCTCAAGGAGCAGAAGAGAGATCATCATGAGCATCATCATGTTCCCCATCTCCACTATGAATACGGACCCCCGAATAGCTACGGACCCCCCAGCAGTTACGGACCCCCAAGCAGTTACGGACCCAGTGGCCCATACAGAAGAGAAAGCCACGGCATATAGCCGTAATTGACATTTTAATAGTTTTAATTATTTATTCTTAGATACGTACTAAATATAACTGAATTTACTGAAGGTTTTTCCGACTGAATAATTCAAATAAAAACACACTTATTTAAATATGATTATCTCTCTGGCACCTCTTTGTCTAACAAAATTATTATAACTAATTTTGTTCTGAAAATGTACGTTTAGTCTGAACCGACCCTTATCGCAAATATTTCATTTAATTACGTTTGCTAAGATTTGATAGCATTCCCATATCAATAACATTGGTACACACATGTCTCTGACACGTTCCTATATTACTGCTTAGTCTTGCCTTTATTACTCCTCAATCTCAACTTGTATGTATATTGTGACAGCTGGAAGGGAAATTATTTATTAAAATTGATGTAACATTATATTATTTAATAAAAACTTTTAAGTTGTTCAAAATTTTAATCAATATGAATATGCTTTAAATAAACGAACAACACTAATCATATTGTAATAATATTCTTTAGATCTGGAAGTTCCAATTCCCTAAATAATATTTACAGACTTTTGTAGCCTAAGTTTCTTTTCAAACTCCTAATCAATATACTTACGCTTACATTTGTATTAGAAAGGCGTGATTTTATTTATTAAAACTGCTTACTAGACACATAGATCAACACGTTTTTCTTTTATGTGTTTTTGAAATTTTATCACCGCTTCGTATTCGACTTGCAAGAATATTGAGAAAGGTTTACGACGATAGAATTTAAATTTAAAAGCAATATTCTCTAATGAAACATTTAAAAATACACATGCGACTGGCAAATGAAGAAATCGCTTCAGTTTGGACAAAAAAAAAACAAAACTATATGATTGTAGATTGATGACATCAATGACCGCTTAATCTCTTGAGTAAAGCCTGAAGCAATTCTGAAAATTCAGTAATAAAAATATATCACAAATGGAAAGTTTTTTTTGTGTACAATCCTATATGATATACAATGGGTCTAGATACTAATAAGTCTAGATTTAGCGACACTAAAAAAGGTAGCTCGCGTTGTATCGCAACAGGTGAGCTAAACGAAACGGCCGCATAAATTGCCGTCCGCCGTAAAAGTTGTAGCCCGCTTTCGGTGTTATTACATTTTTACGTCTATCATAAAAAGACGAGAATTCTGGGAGATTATTAAAGTGTAAAAGTATCTGATAACATAACGTTATAATAAATCATAAGACTGCGTAGTACGAGTGCAATGTACTTAGGTAGAAAATATTTCACTGTACTCGTACTTTGAACGTCTATGTGGTGTCTATTCTGCGGTGAACCTTTCAAATTGAAAGGTTCAATACACATTTACCTTTTATGAGCTAATGTACAATTAAATTTTCTAAGAGTTTAATCTGGTTTTTCTCGTTGTATAATTCTATTCTAACTAAGTTTAAAGTTTAATTTAAATATGCGGTCCAGTGCCAAAACATAAAGATAGGAAAACTGACCCACGCTGCTATTGAAATCTTGGAGTTGTGCCCGAACCAGTGCAGAAAGATAAATATGTCAACTGATAAAGTTAATTATATTCCGTACTTACATCTACTAAGTGAAATTGCGTCGTGGAAAAAATTAATTCAAATTCAATTCATAAAATAATGAAATTAGCCGACCATTATATTTAACCATAGTTACTTATGTAAACAAAACATTCAAAAACAGGGCTAAAATGATTCATATCACATACATCTGTATATTAATTTGAACTTGAATGTAAGAGGAAATTCTCTTCATTACATCAGCACTTCGGAAATCCTGATTTCATATTTTGTTCGTCGTAATTCTATCATCGGGGATATTTGATTTGAATATGTCGAGAGAATTACTCATGGAAATGTCTGATATCGAAATATATAGAAATATCCGTCGATAACTCAATTCGTTTTTCTACGTATCGAAGCAGGCAATGTACTCCGTATGTAATTCATGAAGGATTGCAAATCAAAATACATACCTGCGCGATTGTTATTTTATTATCTCCAATATATGCACGCGCCCAATTGAGAATAAATTACCGTGTCTATGTAGTATATATTTTCGAATTAAATTCAGGTAGTCGCTCGTTAAGTAAGTTGTATTCTATTGACGTTTTTTCAAGATAAATGCACTCAGGGTACAATAGCACCAAGAACTTGATGACTATCACAATGTTGCAGAGTGGAGAAATGTTCACGTCAGAAGCGATATCACAAAGTCCGGTCCAACGTGTATTTCCGAGTAAATTCACACAGACGGCAGACGGCGCGGCGAGGCGAGGCGACGATATTCGATATTTGTGCATTCGGAGAGTACATTAAGGCTCCGACTGCAAACACATTTCAAATTGAGCTGCATTGTTTCAATAGCAAGACATAAAAGCCTCGTGGTGAAGCTCATGGACATATCTAAACTTATACTATGAATATGCTATTGGTTTATTTTTTAAAAGTTTAACAACCTTATTTTTACATTTCCCTCTAATACAAAAATTTATATTTTAAAATAAGTTCGTAACCTTTAGAATAATCTCTAAGATAATTTCGAGTTGATTCAGATTCTGGAATCGTAGAAATGCAGTCGGGGGAAAAAACTCATTTCCTTAAGCTGGCTGCGACCTAATCAACTGGTCGTGAAATTACCTCAGTCACCTCAGCACTCAGCAGGCTCACTGAGGTTATTTCAAATTAGCCAATTGATGAAGTTGCTGTAAGGAAAGAATTTCTTTTGAGATTCCCGCTCAATATTTCCTGAGGTTTCTAAGATGTGCAAGAATATTGAAGTTACATTATTTAGGTGTTAGAAAAAATAATTTATACATCAATTATTATGAATAGCATTCAATAGTTTTCTTATAACTATAAACAATTTAATTATTGTTAATTTAATTTCACAATAAATGCTGTATCAAGCGGATTCGTTAATGAACAAGGCTGAAAGTTAGTTTCAATCAGAATATATAGTAGCTTAAATTTGAAATTCTTTAAAAATTATTCTCTTCACATTCACGAAAAGTACAATGTTTACAGTTAGTTTACCCGCAGAGCGTCTGAAATAAACGCTTAATTGAATAGTTTCGTCCAACGGAGTGGCGGCGTGCCTCGGGCCACTTGCCGGACGGTAAATACTGCTAATGAAGTACACCGCCCGGGGCCCGCAGCGCACTCTAAACAACGTGCACTTGTAAACTAGCAGGATAAATTTCAAACATTTGCCTTCTTCTGTACTAACCTGATCTGGCTGAATGTAACATTTAACACTACTAAATTATAAATGTGAAAGAAATTCCGTATTCAAAGAAGATTTTTTTTAGAAAATGAACCAATTATTTTCAAATTAACTGTATTATTAACAGTAAGTGTTAGCGTACAATGTTCCACTCAATTTTGTCGCTTATTGATTTTAAGACTACATTTGTACTCTGGGGAAATGCGTTTTATCGAATTTTTTATGTGGTTTTATCATTTTTGTAATTAGCCGTTCGTACGACGTTCTGTCACAAAATTAATATTAAATTTATTTTATTACAAAAGTTATTTCCACAAATCATCGTGGAATTGAATTTGCCGTTGTACTCATAAATTACCGATTGATTTGCCAAATTGCCAATAAATCATTAGGCTATTAAACAATGATTAATCTCTTGAATCAAAACTGTTTAATGTAAAAGAAAAGTTTTACAGCACTAAGAGGAAAGTTGTTACGAGTTGATATTTCTATTTTTTATCGATTTGTACTTCCAGTCAATTTATTATTTCCTCTTCGTTTATTCGGTTAAGTAATAGCGCGCATACATCAAATGCAATATACCTGTATATTTTATTCGCTCGCGTCGTGTTCCCGAGCAATAAATTCCCAAAGGTAAATGGCTTCTGTTTAATCTGTTGTAAAGTAATCGAATACCATTATTTCTACTTTATGACAGCCCTGTTTAAAGCCAAACGAATCGAATCTATTTTCTGTAATAGTCGTAAAATGTAATTTCTTTTTGTAACCTAAATTGCGATTATAGGCTCAAAACATTGTCATATTCATTTTATTTTGGATTCAATTTTGGATTTTTGTGAGCAAAACCACAGCAAGCTATATAATGTGATGTCAATCTTACTATCTGACTCATATAAATGCGAAAGTTTGGATGAATGGATGGATGTTTGTTAGAAGGTAGTACCACCCTTCGACCTCATCACCACTTATCTTTAGGTGTGATCGTGGTCATGCGCTAATATATACTTCAATAAAGAAAAAAGGTGTGACCTAAACGGTTGCACGAATCTCGGTGAAATTAGGAATAGATGTAGAGCATAGTCTGGTGGAACTCATTGGGTACTTTAAATTACGCGCAGATAGAGTTGCGAGGAACAGTTAGTATTTATAAATATGTGCATGTGAACCTAACGTATTTGCATACTCGATAAAAAATGCTATAAAAATACTTCGCTGTTACTTGTGCATCAACTTTACGATGTCATCAAACTGAGGTAATAAGTGAGGAATTCTTTTACTACCGAAATATTGACCTCGGCGTCTCGTCAGATTCTTTTTAAAGCGTTAAATGTTGCTGGTATAGATCACTTAACTGCCAATTTGTTGGGACAGTTCCGACGTCTAGACGTCGAGGTTTTATTACTTTAAAATACGCTCAAATTTACTATTCAATGAAATCATTAGAGGTTTAAAACTATTTTATTACTGGAAATGTATACTTTCACAAAAATCAATATCTGAATACAACTAGACACTATTATCCCGCAGTCCACACTACTCCCATAAAATGTATTTTTCTATAGGACTATAGAATTCATGCATTCAATCGACCCAGTGGGGAAAAAATCCCATTAATTGAACGCTTGACCGATCGGCCTAAGGGGAAACTCTTAAAATGTATGAAACATTACTTGTATGGTAGATTATAATTTTAGTCTTTGTTCGGGAAGGCGTAATATTTTTAAAACGTATACGTTCGGTCTCAACCTCGCTCAGGGTTGATATGGAATGTACACATTGATTTCGAATCTATTCAATAAAGTAAAGCATTTTATTACGACAAATAAACAAGATTAGATTAGGATTAGATTTTATAACTATAGGGAGTATTGTTGTGCACACAAATAAAACAACTTTTATGTAATAGTGCCGATTTGTGTATATTTTCAATTTCATAAACATTTTACAAATTCAATTTTTAAAGTAACCTTACTCGAGTTCCTTCCAATTTATCTTATTTTGAACAGTTTTAATTTTTTGTTTCAGTATTGTGCCGTGTGGTATATTTTACATTTTCATACCTGGCAATACTTTTACCGAAGCGATTCAAGTTAGCATTTGACTTTAGTCTTTGCACTCGTGGCTAGCACACGCTCAATCTATCGATCTAATAATGCCCACTGTTGCAATAAAACGATATTAAATTAAAAACATTTATTTTGACAAACTTCCACTATACCATAAATAATGGAGCAATTTTATTCTGACGTTTTTTTACATTCTACATCACGTTATTATCAAATTTAATGGTTTTTCTAATGGATTTAAAACATCGTTCAATGGACATTATAGACCAGCCTTGCGTCTGCGCATACAATATTCAACCATAGAGTTATAAACGCTAGCCACAGAAGTGTCCCGACCATAGACTTAAGCGCTGCCAGAGCTCTCTCATACAACTATATTGAATCTACAGCTTCGTTCTTCGCACAAACAATTACACTAATGAGGTCATCGTTTTAACAAAAAAATTCAAAATACATCGTCCATTAAAAAAAATAAAAAACATTAACTATTCTGTTGAGCACGCCGCGAACACGTTAGCACCCTGTTGTATTTCCTAGTAGAAAAAAATATGAAATTACGTAGTTTTTATAGAAACGCTTTACTGCGCAGTTGCAAAAACGCAGTTTTCAGTATAAATAAAATGGTTGAGGTAAAGAATCCAACAATTCAAAACTGCTATGAACTCTAAAACTAAAAAATACGCATTTCTATAAAATCTAACTGAATTCATCTCCGCTGAAACTTTATGAAGTCGTTTAAATTTCCTCCTTCTGAAGTTAGACATAGACTACACAAAATACAACTTAAATATTACAAAATATTTCCTTAACTATAAGAAATAAAGACTTGTAACTGTTTTCATACTGTAAAACTCCACTGCAACACTTGTCTATTTTATTTATTGTGTGAGAGAGACGGCGATAGTCTGAACCAAACACACTTTGTCCCAGACTTTTTTATATGGTACTTTGATTTAAAAATCTACAAATATGTGAGTGGAGTTTCACAATAATAATTGTACAAATGTAAAACGCGGATATGACGACTAAGACAACAATTGTAGAGTGTACTTGCAACTTGTGTGAGCCCAACTCGGGGCTGCGGAGAGACTTGAACACAAACTATTTATAACATTAACTATTTCATTTAAAAATCGTTATTACATCATTTAAACCATAGTAAATGTGAACTATCTTTAAGTAAATATATAAGATTTGAATTGCGTTCAGTTCTCTCCGCTCTATGTATCTATATGATTGACCTATCTACTGGGCTATATATACTGGATTGATCACATCACCGACCTGTGTATTTTATTATCTACTTCTAAACATTCAGTACATTTGTAATTCGCTTATATCTTCCAAAAGTAATCCCCCACATTTGTATGTAACAAGCGAATTGCAACTGTTAGCCATTTGTCAAGAGGTTCAAATTGGCTGTAAGGTTTTTAATGTGTTGTAAATATTACAGTAGTAAAATATAGACAGAATGTATTGGTTCCTATCGGTGTGGCATTGTGTGGCATGGTGTGGCGGGGTGTGGCGGGGTGTGGCATGGTGTGGCGTGGCGGGGGCGGGGCCGGCTAGAAGGGGCGGTAGGCGTGCGGGTAGCGCGCGGGCTGCGCGCGGCGGGCGGCGCGCGCGAGGTGGTGCCAGCCGAGGCGGGCGTAGACGGCGACGAGGCGATCGTCGAGGTCGCGCGAGGGGCGCTCGTCCAGCATGCGATGCAGCAGCTTGAGCGCGCGGCCCCAGTGCGCCAGCGTGCAGCAGTGCCACACGGCGTAGTGCTGCACCTTGGCGTCGGTGAGGTCCGCGAGGCGCAGCAGCTCGGACATGTTGGTGCGCAGCGCGTCCTCGATCTTGTCGCGCGCGGCGCCGCCCTGCGCCAGCGCGTGCAGCCGGCACAGCGCCGCGCCGCGCCGGCACAGCGCCTCCACCGCCCACCCGCGCAGCCGCTCCTGCTCCCTGCGCGCACACACAAACATTCCTTTAAATCATATATACCACCCACTTTTGGACCTTTAATTTCCTTGTTATTTGTTGCAAAGGTGTTTATCATCATCATTTATTGTACAAAAATGTCGCTCAAATACATTTTTGTACATTACTTTGTTGATGGATTATTGACTGATGATTATTGACACCGTAAGAAGCCGAGCTTTACTATCGTCTCTTTAAACATTTCACAGTATAATAGAAGAATGACTGACTGTTTGATTTTGGCGGCATCAGGTCGCGTGTCGTTCTTCATGCCGAGGTACGCCAGCAGCTTGTCCTGGTCTATCTGCTTGATCACCTGCACACACACACACACACACAACTGTCACATATATGTTTCATCACAAACATCATCATATTATTGTACTAGCTGTTGCCTGCGACTCCGTCTGGGTGGAAATAAAAATAAAAAAAGTAAAAAACATGGCCTATGTTACTCGGTGGTTACGTAATTATAATTGTGCAAGAATTGTTTTTAATGGGCCTAGTAGTTTTTGAGATATGTCGATACATACAGAAATCCAATAATACAAATCTTTCCTCTTTACAATATTAGTATAGATATAAAAATACAGATAATCCGTGTGACCTTATCTGCGATGGTGATGAGCTGCTCGCACCACGCCGTCGTCACATCGGGGGGCTCCGCCGCGAGCGGCAGTCTGCGGACATCGCAATATTACTTAAAGAAATACTAATTATCTTACTAATCAAAAGAATATATACTTCTTAGGGTCCGTGGGCGAGTCGACGCTGTTGAGGTAGGCGACGTGCGTGCCCAGGTAGCCGGGGTACTTCTCCAGCATCTCCTCGTACAGCTGCTCCAGCTTGTCCCCCTCTACAACACACAAATTGTATTCATTCATTTTACATTAAATCTGACCATGTTATAAAATTGGAGTGCCTGCAATTGAAAGAAAAAATCCAGATTTCTGGAAGATGATACATTTGCGTTGCCGATAACGAAAATCACATTTAAAAATTTTTTGTCTGTCCGCAAGCCGCGTTTGTTTCGGGTTATATCCGAAACGGCTGGGCCGATCCGAGTTAAACGATTGAGTCGATAAGTACATGAACGAATTTTAAACTAGCGAATGAGTAATATGAATAAATGACCGAATGAGGAAGTGAGTACACGAGTGAGTTTATGAAGGAGTGAATGATTACATGAACGAGTGAATGAGTATATGATGAATAGATTGAACGAGTAAATGGACGTGTAATTGTCTGAAGTGTGTGAATGAGTACATGAACGAGTGAGTGGATGCGGTGGCAGTGTGAGTGTCAGTGTTGGTGTATCAGTTACCGAGCTTGGCGAGCCAGGCGGCGGCGAGGTCGCGGTGCGCGTCCGCGTAGTCGTCGTGTCGGCGCGGCGCGGCGTGCGGCGGCGCGCGGCGCGGCGGCTCGCAGGGCAGCGCGCGCAGCACGTACACGTCCACGCGCCGCCCCAGCTCGTCCTTCGCGAACGTCAACGTGCCCGACAGCGTCTGCCCCACCGACGTCGACGACCGGCTCACTCTGACACATCACACAAATGCATTCCACGATACATTGAAATATTGCATCGCAGGTTACATCATACTACTCGTCTTTCTATTATAAATGCGAGTCTAGATAGATGAATGTTAGTTTGTCCTGGTTATATTGTAATAAAGTATTTAGTGACAGTAAGAGCGTCGATAGTACAGTTGTTATGCTGTATATTTTTTTAGAATTTTATATGTCTATTTATCTGACGTGCGGTGAAGAAAATTATCGTGATGGAGCTCGCAAATACTAGTAATGAGATTCAGAGATATGTATGAAGCCAACCTGCAGTTGACTACTGTCGCCCTTATTTTAGGTTAGACAGTTGTAAGATAGGTAGAGTACATAGTGATGTATAACTAACTTGTCTGCGGGCACGGGAGCGATGTATATGGGCAGCAGCTGTCCGCTGTGCAGCTGCGCGCTGGTGAACTTCTTGCAGCCGGTCACCGCCTGGTGGTATAGTTTACACTTTCAAAGTAATGTTTGTTAAAAGCGACTGCATATGACGATGTACTGTCGGGGAAATCCATGTAATTCCTTACAAAAGACATCTCGTTCTTTGAAACGAAACAGTAATTGTCAGATACAAGTTTCTTTTTTTCTGCCATATTTTGATTTCTCTCACACTATTGCATCACTACAGTCAGCTAGAGAACATGGCGTATGCAAACATTCCAATCGTGGTAAGAAACTCGTATCTTACGACCAATACCATAAAAACTTTGATAATTTAGTTACGACAAAAAAAGTCGTTTCGTAGTTAGTCTTTTTTCAAATGTGTCCAACATTTAAAAGTTTATATAAGTAAGAGACCTGCGAGTAGGAGGCGTAGACGTCGAGCGCGATGGGCTGCGGCAGGCGCTGCTGCAGCACCAGCGGCAGCTCCTGCAGGCGCTCCAGCAGCGCGCGGCTGTCGTGGCGCACGCCCAGCCGCACCACGTACTCGCCCTTCTCCAGCTTCACGCAGTACTGCGCACACACACCTCACCACTGACAGTACTCACTACCTTGCGCCCAACACTCCGTCCGCGTATAATTCAAAAATTATTTTAAACATAGCCTATTTTAGTCACTGACAACGTAGTTTTTGTGTGGTAAAGAATTTTGAATAGTTTTTGAGTTATTTCATTACAATCAAACAAAGTTTTCCTCTTTACAAAATTAGTATAGACTTAACTAAAATCTATTAATATTACAACAATTATCTTATACCTTAAATGCGGTATTTTTCTTAACCTTGAGAAAAAAGTAAGTTAATGCAAAATCGGTATTATAATAAAGGAAAAAAGACAATGATCTAGTATCCAAATTCATATTTTTTGTTGAATATTTTATTATTACAGTTAATTAGTCTGGAGTGTCGGTGCTTCAGGTGTTGTGTACTTGACCTATTTGCAGGTCCTGGGTTCAAATCCTTTGTATAATTAATAAATTCAAAGATAAGTGTGAAATCAACTCGCAGTGGGCCAGCATGGTTAATTTAGAGATAATGTGGTATTGTGAGTGTTACCTTGGAGGGATATGCGTCGCCGACCGCCAGGAGCTGCTTGCAGCTGTTGTACAACATCCACATCTGCGACTCGTACTCGCTCTCGTACAGCGTGTCGCACAGCAGCGACACCATCGGCGACACCTGCCGGCCACTCCACTACTGACACACTGGCTTTGCTCGCCACTTCCTCTGCGTTACTCACCGATAACAACTTTTAAATGGTGCTACAATTTTTAAAATCGGTCCGGATTTTGAGTTCTTTCAATACAAACAAAATCCTACATTGCAAATCTCACATTTTTATACAGATTAGTAAACGATACTTCGTTAAATAAGCCATTTAAAATGGTATCGACTAACGCTTTCTGTTATACTACCATTGTAGTTAGGCTTGTAGTTTTTATTCCTTTTTTACTTAAATCACTCTATACATTAAAAAAGTGTGAAAATAGCCTGTCTGAAGTGTAAAACTGTTTATTAGAAAAATAATGATTCTAAAAGCTGACAGCTGACTACCTATATAGCAAAATGTATGTTTGCGTTTTACTGTATTAATATAGGTTCAGATAGATTAACAGTGACATAGAGCACCTCCGTGGCCTTGGTGATGGTGAAGTTGTACGTGTTGATGAGCTGGTAGATCTGGCGGCCCGGCGGCAGCACGTCGCGCGCCGTCAGCGGCGCCAGCTTGCTGTCCGCCGGCCTGCGACCAGTTATAGTACTTTTATTAAACATATATAATGAGATACAGATGACATAGATGTACATTTGTGGTATCGAGCCAAGTGGAGAGTGAGTTGTGCAAGAGGCCGTACCTGTAGACGGGCTCGCAGTGCTTGAGCTGCGCGACGGGCTGCACGTCCTGCTGGCGCAGCGCGGCCAGCAGCACGGCGGCGGGCGCCTGCGAGCCGGCCAGCCACACCGCGCCGCCGCCCTGCGGCCGCAGCCCGTGGAACTCCACGCTGTAGTCCACGCTCACCTCGCCCAGGTTGGCCCAGTACTTCGCTATCGCCACCTCCAGCGTCACCCCGCCCTCAACACAAACAAACACTCAGAACATCAACGACGGCTTTTATTAGTAGATAGTAATTACCGTTACTATGGCAACCTTACTTCCTTGATGTTGTCAGCTTATACTTCATGGTCCCTTTCCCACAATGAAGGTTTTTTTCCATTTTATTTACCCCTTAAGTTTAATAGCGCGAAAATATAGCCAATAGACAATTTTACAAATGCGTGTTTACAAGGTGTAGGTGTAGGTGTAGGTGACTGACCACGACTTGGAAGGGCAGGTAGGTGGGCGCCTCCGCGCTGAGGTTGAGCAGCTTGTGCGTCTCGTGCGCGCGGCAGCTGCGCTGCGGCAGCAGCTGCATCGTGTGCACCAGGAAGCGGCCCGCGCGCTCGCGCTGCGCCGTGCTCAGCCGCAGCACCGCCCAGCTAGCCCCCTCCGGCGCTGCGCACACCGCACACCGCACACATCGCACACCGCACACTTCACACTGTGCAGCAACACCACGACCGCACAAGACAGGCGTCAAGTGGGCGCAATGCTAGCTTTCATCTGATCACTGTTGTGCCGCCCTACTAAGTCCCTTACCTTGCCTTGCCTTGATGATATAGACGCATAGAAAAATATCCTCTTTATATGTATCTCTTTCATTGATTAAGGGTAGACAACGCATGTGCAATTGCGGCGGTACATAGGCAGCGATCGTTTCGTTTTCTCAGCAAATTCAGGTGGCGGTATGCTCGTTTGCAACCTTATAGTATAAAACGCTAGAATAAGTAGATAATTACGTATGACGAAGTGTCTCTTTATAGTGGCGGGTTTGAAGAGCACGTCTCTCTCCGCGAAGCCGGGGCTGGCGGGCGCGTCCAGCGGCAGCGGCTGCGGCTGCAGCACCGTGATGCTGACGCGGAACAGCGGCCCCTTCTCCACGCACGACACGTCGTACGCGTTCACACTGCGCGACACCACACGACACAACTCAGCACAACAGTGTTTACTTTACACGAGCTCTTTCCGTGCGGCTTCCTCTGTATTAACTTATAAAAACTTTTTTTAATGGTTTACTTTTGTGAAATTTACAATCGCCAATGTCAAAATTCAAATGAAAATAAAAATCACCGTTACCATGGTAACTTAGCTTCCTTGATGTCAGCTTGTAATTTTAGTTCCTTTCCGAGTCACGGTTTTTTTTTGAATTATTTACTTTCTAAGTTACATAGCGTGCAATATATATAGTCTAAAACGTATCTTAAATGTAGGGTTTCTTATAAAAACAGAATAACATTAAGTATACTAATATTAAGAGAAAAGATTTGTATTTTGACGATTAGAGCGCTAGGTGTGTGTGTGTGGGGGGGGGGTGTACCTGGCGTGGTGCGCGCCGGGCGGCAGGGCGGCGGTGCGCAGGCGCAGGGCGAGCGCGCGCGGCGCGTTCATGAGGTCGAGGTGCGCGGGCGCGGCGACCCAGGGCGCGGCGCAGGCCAGCGCGAGCCGCACGCCGAACGCGATCTGCTTGGGAATGACCGACTTGTCTGCAACACGCATCACGCTACATACTTTTTTTGTATCTGTTCACCACAAAAACATCGCACACACATCGCTACCTATACTATATACCTAAACTTTCATTGACTAGGCGCGTTATTTTAACTAGTTCAAAATTATTACATCAATTTCAATTACAAGAAAAAATCATTTTCTAAGGATTTTGATAGTTTATAGTGTGAAATTCGTTTACAATCAAATAAATACGTGCTCATAATTTAACTAGGGAATCAACGCAAATAACGAACGGCTCTTTATACTATCTATCTACAAATGGAACCGTAATGTATCTAAAATACAGAAGGAATTGTAATTGTAATATTTAGTTTGCACGGCACGTACCGCGGGGCGGTGGCGGGGCGTGGGGCGCGGCGCGGGGCGGGGCGCGCGCCGGGCCGCCCTCGTCCCCGCCGCCTGCGCACAGCGCATTGCTACTCTACTCACTGCACCACTTAAACCATTTATACCCGATACTTTATTCGTTTATTGACGAAGCAGTTTCATTTCTAAAATTTACTATCTACTAAATGCCTAATATTTTAATTCATTCCTAAGAAAACGACAATAGCAGAGCCGTAGTAGTGAAACTTAACTAAAAAATTATTTATTGAAAAATCGGAATAACAGAGACTTTTTGTTATTGCCTTTAAATTAGTGTTGATCGTCTATTTTTAGGGTTGCCTTGGTCTATTCTTAGGGTTGCCATGATCAATTTTTAGGGTTGCCTTGATCTACTTTTAGGGTTGCCTCAATCTATTTTAGGGATGCTTCGATCTACTCTTAGGGTTGCAATGATCTACTTTTAAGGTTGCCTTAATCTATTTTTAGGGTTGCCATGATCTACTTTTAGGGTTGCCGTGTTGTCAGACTAAGCTAGCAAGGCCCTGCAGCGGGGGAGTACATGAATGTGTACTGACTGTGCAGGTCTGTGTGGTCGAGCAGGAAGCGCGGCTCCACGGTGAGCGCGATGTCCTGCGGCGGGTCGCCGGGCCGCGGCCGCAGCAGCACGCCCTTGCCGTTGTGGGGTCCGCACTGCAAGCTGAACGTCACGTCGCGCTCCGCCTCGCTGTGGTACTTTGTTAGGATTTCGAACGCCTGGAAAAACCATACTAAGTATTTACAGGTAAAAAGCGTAATAATTTTATACGTACGGAGGGTAGCTGAACAACTTTCTAATAAGTAAAGTAGCCTACAGCCTAATACTTTAAACTTTACTGTTTGTGTTAATTTTAGGTTATATTAGCTTTCGCACGCGACTCCGTCTGCGCGGTATTAAAAAAAAAACAAGTGTGATCTTCCAGACTATCCTCTACATTTATGCCAATTTTATTGAGATCCTTTCAGCAGTTTAGACTACAAACTCAAACAAACAACTATCCATCCATATAAACTTTCACATTTATAATATTGGTATGATTTATTGTGTAAAAATAAAATAAAATTTGATTAGGTTTGTAGAATTTTTTCTAATAATGATTAATTTTTCAATATAAATTTGAATACCTTTTCAATATTGAGCAGGCCGCAGCCCTGCGCCCAGGGCTCCACGTGCGCGAGGTAGGTGGCGGAGTTCTCCAGCGCGCGCTTCATGCTGTAGGGCGAGTGCGGCAGCGAGCGCGCGCGCAGCCCCGACACCAGCGCCGCTGCACACGTGCGACACATTGGACTACCAAAACTCTACTTTAACACTATTAACATAAAAGTAAATTTATTATGGCTTACCAACAGCGCCGGCAACGTGCGGGGCGGCCATCGATGTGCCGTTCATCAACTGGCAATTGCGTAAAGTGAACCTATAAGGAATTATTAAAATTACTTATGGCATCGAGTATGTCGTAGAATATATATGGTGTAGTGTAATATTTTATAGTACTTTGTAAACACCGCACAGTAGATATTGTTGTTCCTAACTAAGCGTTTTTTACCACCATTCATAGTTGTTTTTGCAAAAAAAATAATATTCTCTCTTCATTACGGCGTTTGATTTGCATGTACGGAAACACTGTACATCTTGGTCCTTTGAGCCGGATTAGTGTAGTGTGTGGTGTAGTGCAGTGCGGCGCACCTGGCGACGGAGGCGACGGCGCCGCCGGGCGCGCAGAGGGCGACGCCGAGCGCGCCGTCGGCGCAGGGCCCGCGCGAGCTCCAGCTGAAGGCGCCGGCGGGGGTCGCCGCGCGCATCGAGTACGCCGCGCTCATCATCTCCGCAGACACGTACGCGCCCACACCTGCACACGCACGTATCAATGTTAAAGGTCATTTTCATGCGATATAATAACTGAATAGGAAAACGTCTGCAGTGCGGGACACGGCGTGTCTTTCAATGACGCTTGCTAAATTATAACAGTGATAACCATACTCAAATTGGTTAAGCGGTTTCTGAGATTAGTAACAAACACACAGACAAATTGACCAAATTCTAACAATCATTGTTTAGAGATAAATACTTTAAAATAATTTTAACTACTATCTCTGAATTTACCAATGGTCTCGTAAAGTTTCGTGAAATACAATTCACACACATCTAATTTAACTTCGCAACTGTTCACTAAATTATGGAAAATATATGAGAATGTGTAGAGTGTAAGCATTGCGACCTATGAGCACGGGCTGCGCGATGTCGGGCGGCGTGCCGACGGTGCCGAGCGCGGGCCCGTGGTTGCCTGCCGACACCACCCACGACACGCCGTAGCGGTTCACCACCGAGCTGATCACCTCGCCCACGCGTCTGCGACCACAATACATACATACACATCAATAATACCCAATTTAAGAATTCTAAAATATAGCATATGTACTCTTCTAGACTGTGATCCACATCCATACATCTAAACATTTGCATTTCTAATTTTAGTAAGAAAGTAATACAATTGGCGGATTTCATTTGGTCATAATATTTCCTGCAAAATTATCTTACCATTACTTTTACTGTGACATCAATACTTAAATATGTGCTCAAAACAAATCTCACGCTGAATCATCACTGAATTATGTATTTGTAAATTATTATAATGAATATCAATAATGTTTCCCACACATCTAAATTTATCTCTTAATTGCTAATTTATTAATTAATTCAGCATTAAATTTTTAATCCATTACAGTTGTATAAATTACAAGTTAATTTACATAATCACATAATATAATCAATACGATCTAAATAGTTCTAGTTGCTACTATATAAATATATTAAAAACGCTAGCTTTCATCCCCGACTCTGCATGTGTGAAATTAAAAGAATGACTTCCATATATTGATCCAGACTATGTTCTACATCTGTGCAAATTTCAACAATATCCATTGAGCCAAACTAGATACATTAGTAATAAACATTCATCAAAACATTTGCATTTATAACTATGATAATCAAATGGCAGTAATGACTAAACAAAAACTTGATTTAATATCGACCACGAAAGTCTATTACAGATTTTAGCTGTACTTGGCCTTCGGGCAAGATTTCTAGGGGTTCCTAATTGTTGTAAAGAGTGTACCGACCCCGAGTTGGACCAGTGCGCGTGCTCGCCGTAGCTCATGTTGACGACGTCGACGGGCGCGCCGGCGGCGGCCAGCTGCATCAGCTTGAGGCAGGCGCGCACCAGCGCCGTGCCCGTCTCCATGGAGCCGAGGCGGCCGTCGCCGATGGTGAGCGACACCAGCTGCGCGCCCGCCGCCACGCCGCTGCGCTCCGGCTCCTCGGGGAAGTGGCCCGCCGCGATCGCCGCCACGTGCGTGCCGTGCGTCGCTGCAACGCGCACACAACTGCTCACTGTCACGCTTGGACATCATATAGTAAAAGAAAACTTACTTAAATACAAATTTTTTAAACTTAGTATAGAGTCGGGCCTCGTAGTAATCGAAAGACATAGGACAGGAATGACAAACCACTGGCATGTGTGGCATAAATGGCAAACGCCACTATTTTGGGCTTGTCAATGATCATAAAAACATTACGAAAAAATATGAAGTAGATATTATATAAAGCGAACGCGATGTCATTACCATGCATCATGGAATTGACATAGTAATCAGTCAAAATTATTTGAATGCATTAAACATTTATTTAAAAAATGGCACTTTGATGCTTGAAGGTTCGCCACTTCTGAAATAAAGTGTAGTAATTGGTGTGTTTTAATTGTGCTTTATAATATCTTAATTGTATTTTATCGATTTGATTAAAAGATAACTCACAGCACATTCCGACCACCTCCAACACATCACCATCATCATGCACATTGATGCTGACAGTCATCTCATCCAGCTCGGTGAGGTGCGCGTGCTCGTGCGTCACGCTGTACTCCCCCAGCACCAGACCCTCGGACAACTCCCCACTCTCCGTTGTATCAATACAGGCCCTGTTACACAGGTTATCTAATTAATATGCTTAGGAAATACAAATGTAAACAAAAAATATATGATTATAATCTTTTTTGGAACATTATCAACATCAAAAAAAATTCAGATTCATTAAAAAATGTTATCTTTAAAAAACAGAACTATTATACTACAGCAAAAGTGATAAAATCTTGCAGTTTGCAATCTAAATTGATATACCTTACCGTCTAGAAATGTTTCTAGCAATATTTTATTGCATCTAGCATTCTTAAAAATTACCAGGTCAAATAAGTCTAATAGAGATTAAGGTCTTTGACTGTCTTACCTCCATATTTCACCATCATGAAACAAGACACAGTCATATGTGGGGCCAACATCTGTGTATTTTTTTTCTACTGCTTGCAACACTTCCACTCGTGCCTCCAACTCTTCTTTCAAGAGTTTCTCTTCAGCACTCAAATTAGGATTTTTTGCAGCTGGTAAACAAAGTTTATAGGACTACAGAAAAGAATTGGTAACGATAACAGTCTTGTCCTTGGATTGTTGTTTAAGACGAATTACTTAAAAACATAAAGCATGGAATCAATAATAAAAGTACACATAAACTACAGAAGTAAAAAAATATTCCTACAAAACTTACCAACATTGGTTTCAAATTCATGTAGTTTTGCATTAGCCTCAGCAAATGCTTTCTTTTGTTCCACATCCCAAAGATGCTCTTTTCTATGTTCCTGCACCCGTTCTTTTAGCTTTGTGGGATAAATACTGAAAGGATACAACACTCCTGTTCTCCAAGTCCCAGTGGGATTCTTCCACGTCTCTGGAATCTAAGAAAATTGTTATATAAAGGAGAATCAAGCAAAACATTATTGTAAACCAATGGAGCAAGCAGTTTATGCAGTAGCTTATGCTACTGTGGTCTATACCGCGGTTAAATTTCGAGCCCAATGTCTAGTAAAAAATAACTCTTTTCTTGTATAATTTTTTTACAAAGATTGTTTTAATGCTCATAAAAATTGACGTTGTTCTTGCTTGAACTTCATCAGCTTTAAGAAAATCATATTAAAGCATAAAAACTTGGAATTCACTTGAATCAAAAAATGACAATGAACAGCTGTGAAGCACATCAGGTCAATGACCGAATGACATTGCGAATATCTTTGTGTAAGAACATTCGAATATATAACGTGTTACTATTAAACTTAACATTAGACTGAGAATAATAATAATAACGATATCAATTCCTTACTTTAAGTTTCCTTCCTGTAATACCGGTAATCTGGCCATCGACAACTTTCTTGATAATGGTACTAGTATCGACATCTCCACACCCACTGCAGTCAAATCTTTCTATTACCTTTGTTTTTCCTGTCGACGTTACCTAGTTGAAAGAAAAGGTATCAAAATATAACACAAAATAACAACCAAACAAACCATGACAAGTCAGAATTACCCACCTTAAGGCCGGCAGCAGCAGGATCCACGCCAGAATCTAAAATAGCTATTATAGTGCCCCTGCCATCATATTCGGGATATTTGTTTAAAAAAGACACAACCCCTGTTTCTTTCTTCGGTAATAATCCCCAAACGGGGAATTCACACTCGATCGGTACTTCGGCCATTTTTGATGACCCGATATTTTGTGTTGCCAGTTGCCAACAATGTGTACATTAATTAATAAACAAAAAAATATTTAATAGAACAGACACATAAAAGTTATTTTACAAAATCTACTATCTTTAAAGGTTGGTTTACATAGGTTATTGGGTTATAGCTATAGTGTGTCTAAATAAGTTAAAAAAAAAATTAACAAATTACTCGTAGTATTTTCATATTTTTGTTTTGTAAAATGTAGTGTGGCCACGATTTTACAGGCTATTTAGTATTGTAAATGTATTACCATGTTTTTCTGGTACTTTCAAACAAACTGTGTTTACGCTAGCTTGTGGATGGAAATGAAATAAAAATATCTATATCAATTTTACAAAGAGGCTTACATTCCAATTAGAAATAACAAGAACGCTCTTTCATTATCTGTGGAAAAAGGCCACATTCATTCCATTCATATATCAAATGTAATTAGCAAGAGTTATCAGTGGTGTAAATAATACAGTAAAGGATTATTGTTTGGTAAAAATTACAAATAACAATAACAACTTTATTACTTTACTTTGTTGTTAATCAGTTTGTGGAATACATACATACTGAGTTTGTTTCTATTATATCAATTTCGGTGTTACCATTGGGCAATATTAGTTTATCAAAACATTTCCATGTAGGGGCATCCCCGTTTTAACTTATAAATGATGAATTGCATTTTTATAATATAAGTAACAACTGATAAGGCCGCATTCAAAAGTGATATATAAGAATAAACGTTCAATCGAAGCAGACAACGTATTCAGCTAACTTTAAAATAAGTCGCCGCATATTTTACAAGTAAGAATTTTTGAATTGTTTGTAATGTGGTACAGAAGTTGCTTGTGGCTTTTGTTTTGTTTCTTAGTTTGTAGTGGTTTATGGTTTTGGTGTATTTTAGTTGAAATAAATGCATAAAAGAAGTGTATACGGAGCTAATGTTTTATCTTAAGTTATTTTCATAGCAATTCGTTTTCCCAACAAATTAAAAAAATAAATTTTAATAATTTTACTTAAATGCTTATGACTAAAAAACGTTGTCAATGTTCATTTACACAAATTAAATGCATTGCTATATTCACATTGTTTATTCGATTTTTAACTACAACGTTTTTTAAGATTAAGTTAACTTCGATTCGAGTTCGAGATCGAACCCAGAACTGACGTTGCAACAAGTGTCCAGACTCCAGACCAACATTAAGCTCCATTCTCCATATTGTTACTTTTTTGTTATGCATGTAATACTCGTTTGTTAATTTATGGGTTGATTACTTTGAATTTATTTTCAGGTAAATTTTCTCAATTACAATGGCGTTGGTTGAATGCATAATCGACAGGTAAGAGATTCAATCCAATACTTTATTAATTACTAGCTCTTGCTCGCCACTTCGTCCGCGAAATCAAGAAATAATATAAGAATAGCTTATGATAATCACAAATAACGTAGCTTTTTAATGGTGAGAGAATTTTTGAAATTGGCCCAATAGTTTTTGCGTTATTTCAATACATACAAAAATTCAAAAATGCAAATCTTTCCTCTTTATAACATTCACATAGACAATAAAATGTCGATGTTACTGAGAAAAGTACTATCTTTTGAAATGACTCCAGTAGTTTTTGAGTTTATTAGTTGTTCATTACAAACATATACACACATTTTTGCTCTTATAAGTGCATTAAAAATGATTCAAACAGATAGTAATTTTAAAATTTATGAAGTGAATGTAGTCCAGCAAGGACTCATTTCGCTATCTTTGATAAATTGTGTTTATTAAGCTTGACTGATATCAGCGATATGGAACACATTAAATACAACATTATAAGTATTATGTCTACTACTAAGTACTAAGTACTAAATCTATGGGTTTTATTGATTTTGTAACTTTAAAACGATAAGGCTGATAATGAAGACGTGTCGGCACACGATTCTTATTTAAGATGAATTACACAGAATTGATGAATTACAGAATGGTGTCTAAGGCGTCGGTACCGGCGGCGCCGGTGTTGCGTGACCTAAACGCGGTACTAGCTGACATCTACGTCAGGCATATTGCGCTTAAGAAGGAGGACTGTTATAACTACTACGAAGTTTTCACAAATATATTCTACCGAATACATCAGGCTATGAAGGAGGTGGATACCTACTATGCCAAGTATTCTAGTGAGGTAAGTCCTTCTAGCAAACTTCGTTTCGTGGGCTTCTAGCAAACTTGATTTAGCAAGAACAAAACAAGTATCCCTCTTTTTACTAATACAACTTGATGCAAAGAGATAGCAGTCGATAATTTATTTGCTTGTGTAGATCAAATGCTCGGTTTCAAAATTATAAATACGTAGACCGCGGTCCTTCATAACAAAAATTAATTAACGTTATAATTTCTGGTCTATAGGTAAAGTTCGCGGGAAGTCACTATGATAGACTGCGCATAAACAAGCCCGACGAGTACGACATGGTGATCGTGGTCGATGTACCCTTCAACTCCATACAGATCGAGCCGAAACATCCCGGGTACGTGCAGCTGCGCGACGGAAGTCATCCTGGCTCCCCCCGGCCGTACGCGCCTAACAGCGTCGAGGCCAAGGCTTACAAGTGGCTCGACAGTAAAAACTACATCCTGCGCTCCGAATATGCCAACTGGATTAGAAGCGTTATTAACAGGGCTATAAACCACATAAGTAGTCCGAAAACGTCTCACAACACGGATATGGAGAATACGTATTCCGTGCGAGTGACCGAGAGCGGGCCGGCCGTCACTCTCATAATAGAGAACGACAGGGGCTTCAAGCTAGACGTGGACTTAGTGCTGGCGCTGCGCTTCTCCGAGAGCCGGTGGCCGGTGGAGGGGTACCGCAGCATCCCGCGGGGCTGCGCCGTCGGCCATTGGATGGTGGCGCCTAAGCCCAATAGGCACGGCCACGACATCCACGACGAGAACCGTTCCTGGCGAATCTCGCTGCAGGAGCAGGAGAGAAAGTTAATATACGACTCGCATAATCTGCGCTTGACTGTTAAACTGGTGAGGTCTATTGGAAAAATTTTATTTCCTTAATCAGCCTTTTTACGCGATAAAAGCTCATAGTTTTGTTGTACAAAAAAGATTTGTATTTCGTACACGGTTATTTCTATATTATCTAAAATAAATTAAAAAACAGGTTATATAGAATATTTATATAGTCTTAAATGTGTAGTTATTTTTTGTTCAGCAATAGTAAAGTTATTAACAAATTGAAATATATAGGCAGTAGCGAGGTGATGGGAGTGTGAGACAGTAAAAGTTATTACGGCTTCTACGAATGGAATATTTTTTAAAATCGACCAAAAAATGGTTTTATGTAGAATTTCTTTATTTTAACTCCAAGATGTACAGATAGAACACATTCCAGTTGCACGTAATACTTATTACTTTCATGGTTGTACTATATTCTCTATTTTTACAACTGATGAAACTGTATGTTAATGTTTTTTTTTATTTTGTTTCAGCTAAAGAAATTACGTGACTCCAAAAATATGTCTCATCTCGCGAGCTACTATATAAAGACTTTGTTTCTCTGGGAAGTGTCGGAAAATAACAACAAAGATTTCTGGATGAGAAATGACTTGGCGACACTGTTCAAGTATATGTTACAGAAACTTCACACGGCATTGCGGGCACAGAGGATTAATTACTTCTGGAACTCGAGGTACAATCTCATAGGAAGCCTAAATTCCAGTATAGTGGAATCATACGCTAACATCGTGGCCAACTTGCTACACGCCTTAAATACGAGCCAGGCCCACGTAAGTGCCGCCAAATATTTACTCACCGATGCCGAATTTGCGTCATATCGGAGATTCTTCTAACTTATTTAATGGGACATGGACTTTTAAATCATATTGCAAATCTCAAGATTAATGATGGCACCTTGTGTGTATTATGAAGATTGATATTTATTTATTAATGGAAATAAATTGTATATTTTTTCTAAACGTTTTTTTTTTTATATATTATTAAAAATATAAACAAGACAATTTCTTCTGGACTTGGTACTATCGAAGAATTGTCATTCGCAATTATAATTATTATAGGTTTCTATAAAATGTTCTATTCGTATTCTTCTGTAAAAAAGCGTGCACCGCACAAGTATTTTTTCTCTTATGCTACTGATAGAAATAAGTACTGGCACTTTGCTGCTGGAAATTGCTATAAAGTTAAGAAAAATGTTGTATTGACGTGAAACAATTGGACAAAAGTCACATATATTGCCTCTGTTCGTAACTCTTAAAATTAAAATATATACAGCCGGGAATTGATGATATTTAATCATGTGGTATCAGATAATCCCGTCCTATCTTTTAATTGCTGGATCCACTTCATTTGGCGGATTTGGGCTATGGTGGTTGCATTATTTGGTTCTCGATAACGTATGTATTAATTTTAACATATATAAAAATGTCAGTATGTAAAGAAACATTATGATTTTGTTGTCCAATAAATATAGGCACGGAAGACATAAAGGAACCTTCTTAAGCTTTCAATTAGATTTAAAATATTTATTACTAAGGCGGGTCTATAGTTTGTCCGCCATACGTGTGTTTCGTCACTATGATACCCGTCTATTTAGTACGGCATTTATCTTCATGTTTAATTATTTCATTTGCGTCATTTATCAAACTAATCAATCTTATTTAGACAAACTATAATTGATGTAGATTTTTTGGGTGTATTTAGCCAGAAACTACCGAATTTTCTGTCATGTATTGTTGAATCTGACCTATGCCTGGCAACATTATATTTAAAGTCAATGTCTAGTATTTTCGATTTCTGTCCAAAATCCCTTCCAAAGAACCTAATAAATTACTTTTCATGTCGAAGAATTGATTTTAATTAAAAATAATGTGGTACCAAGTATTGCCAGGTTATTGCTTAATAGCCGCGTGCGTAGGCTTACCAGGGTGGGGGCTTTACCACCTGCATAATGTAGTTTTAGGAAACGTAAGTTACTAAATTTATTTGTGTACGTTAGGTAACACTTCACAGTCTTAACCTAGTGCTTTGATGCTTAGTTTAATTTTATTACTGCTTAATATAACTTTTACTTTAAACCTCTTGGAGGTCACAATGTAATATACCCATATTCGTAAAAATATAATGCATGTAAAATAAATCTAAAAACATTACTTCTACATAAGAGTTATTAAACAAATTTGTGTTATAATGAATCTACAACTTATTAAAATGCATAGTCTAAACAAAATTTGTTAGAAAAGACAAATAACTTAACTGTTCTATGTTTCAACAAATAACATTCAGAACAAGTAAATTGACATCATCTCTCTCATCCATTATAATTTCTTTAATTATAGACAAAAGAGCTACTGGCATTAAAATGATTAAGTAAAACATTACTTATAACTTTAAAACTGTATTTTAACATGATCTAGTAAATTATACAGAAAATGTGAGACTTAGGGCCTGTTCTACCACTGGCTGGATGATATCAATCAGTCTGAGACTGAGCAGATCCTCAGAAAGGCTTAATAATAATGTCACTATTTATCTGAAAATTTACAAGAATTTGGTAGGACTGACTTAATGTAATACTTGTTTCAGCACTACCGGCGTTCAATGCTAGACCGATGGGATCGCATGATGTACCAGAGGGACACACGAGTCACCGGTGATGCCTATAAAGTAGCAGTAAGTTGATATGATGACATCCAACACTTGGACAGGTGGTAGAAATATCTGATGAGTGTGTGTCCTGGCCTAATTTAAGTCCCCTTTCCTCCCTGTTGTTTTTATGAGTACATAGGATGAGAAGTTGATTTGACAGGAGAGGGGATACTTATAAAGGGGAAATATCCTCTTACAGTGCATCCACTCCTCCTTCATTTTTTAGTTTAGTCAGCTGATGATCTGTGTTTAGAAAGGGCAAACTACTTTTACATTGTCATGTTCAAAGTAGTTTTATTCCTATTTTACATTTTTGGATTCTCTACACTCATGATGTGTAGATCTCACCTAATCCTAAGCTATTACTTGATAGTGCTTAATATCGATACTTTCCTTATTTTTATAATGTGTTCAAATTCTTTCATTATTTGTTTTTACAGGGCCTGGAGGCTATTCCGGACAAATGAATGTAATGAAATTGTTCTTAGTCTGGCTGTGTAATTAATAAAATATGTTATGTAGTTAATGTACTTGTTTTATTTAATACTGAATAAACAATTAAATACTACATTGCTTTTTTTGTAACCTAGCTACTAAGGCCGCATGTTGCTTTGTTATCAAGTAACTCTATAGTTCTTTGTTTCTCTTCCGAAATTAGCGATTATGAAATAGGTTTTCATTAATTAGTTCAAATCGCTGACAGATCGAATGGACATAATGATGGCAAAATGTGCAAGATTTATAACCTACATTTGGGGGACAAAATAAAGTATGGTCTTTGGCTCTTTGGGATTGCTATTGACACCTGTCACTGTAACTTTGTAACAACAGTCACCTCACCGCGATTTAAATGACACTGTTATATTGTTAATTGTTATAAGTTTATTCTAACTAAGGTAAAATTTTTGGAAAAAAATACGCACCCAAGGATTTACCAGGGAACCACATTCATAAAACAAAGTGCATGCAATTCGCAATATTGAACTTTTCTTAACATTTTATAATGTGGATACATTCTAGTCAGATGTAAACTTTTTCTCTGAATTTAATATTTCTTCTTCTAATAATTTAATAATCCCAACGTTTAGTACGATAATCAATTAGTTTAAAAAGCTATTATAATGGATAATTGCTTTATCGACATCACTGTAGAATTTTTAGCTATTGCTTTTCACAACATTTTGTACTACAGTTCTGTTTATCCGCCAAATGTATTTGATACTAGAAGAAAATATAGCGTTGTCGTATATCGCTGCAGACATCCAGAAGTAAATCAGTATATTGATTTATGTTTGAAAAGCATAGAAGAATGTTTGAAAAGTGGTACATTGAGACGCCTAGAATTTGCAGTTACTGATGGTGAATATATTCCTTTAGCAAAATTTGTATTTGATTTTGATAAGAATTCCGTAAATGACGAAAATTCTGATGCTTATTTAGTGCAAGTTGAACAAAATTTACGAGCATTTTGCCTAAAGCTTAACACATTAAGTGGGGAATTTATAAAAAACAATGAAAACAAAAGTTTTACAATTTTCCTGCACACTAATGAGTCAATGGCGGTCTCTATGGGTATCAATGCTGATTTACAAGAGTTTCCTTTCGTTGAAATAGAAGATAGAATTGAAGACTGTGAAAAAATATTACCACTAAGAAGATTTGAATTAAGAGATTATAGCATAGACACATATGTTGAAATAAAATAAGAATATAAATATGCATTTAATTTAGTGTAGTTTAATAGCCATACAATATTTTACCTATTGTTAGTATCAATAGCAACTTATCCTGCACATTTTACTGGGATATATGTAGATTATGTGGTGTAAAGATCACTGTTATTTTGCTGCTAAATCTTGATTCACTATTTAAATACTGTGGATGTAATGTTATCAATAATTAAATTACATTTTTTTTCTATTAATAGTAACTCCTTTTCTCCAACTTAACTTTCAGTGATCTTAAGCGGGAGTAAACTTCATCCCAATCAATGTATGCTCCTATTAACTTCCTTACATTTTCTCCACTGTCTTGGTACTGGTTGCGGCCGTGCAATAGCCGAATATTGTCGAACACGAGGATGCTACCAGCATCCACTTTGAAGCTTGCACTAAACTTGCGATTTAACTCAAAGAACAAGCTGTAAGCCTCATACCATGGCTTGACCAACTCTATCGGACCAGGGAAATGGCTGCCCCTTTGGGGTATTGAGAAGTTAATTCTCCACACATGATCACACTTATCGACGCATATCACGGGCGATCTGTAAAGCTTGTAGAATTCATTTCCGTTTTCTACACCTATGTCACTCCATTCAACTTCCGTATTGGTAAGGATTTTGTATTGATCGGGATGATGTTCTTTCATGTAGTTAGCAATGTAATGGCAGTCAGATAGAGTGTTCTCTCCTCCATCTGAATTTGTTTGCACCAGACAATGGAGTAAGTTAACTCCTGGGCAGTAACCGTAATACGGCAGGTCGGTATGCATCTGTAAATTACTAGACAGGTAGGCGACGTTGCTCGTGTTAGGGACGTTTTGCACTATAAATTTAAGACCGTAGTGCGTTTGTTTCGGGAAACCGACTCGTTGTAGTATAGCGTCGATCGCGGTGTCGTCGCTAGGAGTATTTCTGATGAGACTAACGCCGTACGTGGATAAATCTTTTAACCATTTATACAAAGCTTCATCGGTAGATACTATTTCGTTATAATCATTGATGGTGCAAATTTTTTGAAAATCTTCACCTTTCCATGTGACTTTCGGTGGCTTGTACAACTCCGTTTCGTATTGCTGTTGGTTTTCCTCCGTGAAGCTACGAAACTTGAGCCAGTCGAGGCGATAACGCGATGTATGGCCGTCATCCCATGTTACTTGCACGGAATTCTCGTCTTTATGAACTTCCGTTGGTTTCGAATCAAGGTTGAATTTGCTCCAATCTAGGATTCTGCTTTTCGCCGAAGGATGGAAGCATTGCTCGCACTGGCAGTTATCTCTCAGCCAGATGTGGGGAAATTTCAATGTTTCACCATTAATTTGTAGTACGATTGCGTCCTTGATGCTGTAACTGTATCCGCGTTTGAAAGATAAACTGGTTTTGTTTAATTGTCGTGTGAGTGTTAGCGCGGTGTCACGCAGCCTCCTTATCAGCAGCATGTTGCCCGCGCTCCGCGAGCCGTTGAACTGCTCTCTGCAGATAGTGGCTCATTTATTTGTATTTATATAATTATAATCTACTCATGACGCAATTGGATAAATTATTAATTATTGAACATCTTGTCTTTGTATAATAATGTAGAATCTCTTCAAATGTTTAGTAAATTAAGATGAAGAATCAATTTATGAATTTGTATGTTCAATTACTTTTTGCTGGATAAGGTTAAATAAAAGAGATTACTTTCAAGACAAGTACCTTTAATTGTATTTAAATATGATAATCTTATAACAAACGAAAAAATTACATCAAAAAATATAACGTTCAGGTTTCTTAATAAGATACATTTAGTTGATTTTATAACTAAACAAAAGACTAGATATATTCAGTATTTAAAACAATGTAGAGTATTTTAATTTTTTTTTTGTTTCTTTTGTTCAAGTATTTAATATTGACATAAGAGTCAGCTTAATAACAGAAAGAAAATAAAGTGAAAAAAGATTATCAAAAATAAAAATTATATATTCATCATGTCGAGACGTCATGGCATGCTCCGGCCGAGGGCGTGTCAGTGAGCGAGGCGCACGGTGATGCGGTGGTAGGCGTTGGCGAGGATGCCGCGGATGTTCCAGATGTGCTCGAAGTTCTCCGGCTGCGTGTTGAAGTTGCCGTCCGTCGCCTTCACCCACAGCTCGGTCTAGTTTATAATACTTTCATTATCACTCGCTTCGAAAAATCTACACTAAGCATCTTCTAATAATGGTTCTTTGCAATGTGAATTAAGAATGGGAATGGTGTTGCGTGGACGGGTGTGTACAGTCGGGGAATCACACGGTGTCCTATCTTAAAATCTATGGTCTTTTCAACGTTTTGTATGCATTGAGACAATGATGTGGAATAATAATTGGCCGAAAATAGGTCGGTCAAAGTCGTTTGCGCATATCATTGCTACCTATTTTTTTAAAGAGACGGAGTTTGTCTCGTCGCAAGGAAGAGGGAAGTTTTGTGTCAGTGCGAGTGTGAGTGTGCGCGCACCTGAGTGGCGTGCGCGGCGACGGGCAGGCGCGCGCTCCACAGCGTCCAGGCGTAGTGGTGTCCGTGCGGCGCCGCGTCCTGCTGCAGGCGCGCCTCCGCCCAGCTGCGGCCGCCGTCCGCGCTCACGTCCACGCGCACCACGCGCGCGCCGCCGCCCGAGTACGCGTAGCCTGCAACACCGCCCCTCGCTACACTTTCTCTGAATAACATACATCGCTTTCACTCATATCACTATTTAGTAGGGATGGCTTATGCAAACAAAATCAAGCGTGATTCTTCTCGATTTTCGATTTTTTTCTTATAGAAGTTGGAATCTATAGATTCACATATAAGTTATAAATGAAAAAAAAAAAACACTTTTTTTGTAAAATTAATAATAACCTGAACCATTACAAATAACGAGAGTGAATAAATATTTATTACTTCTACAGTCGTACGTAATCGAATCGGATTTCGTTATTATTTTTGTTATCGCTAAACTCTCAACACTAGAGTTGTTTTTATAAATTAGTTAATAAGAAACTAATAATTTTAGTTAGGTTCGATAAATTTTTGCGCGTTTGTTTCGTCACTACGTAATTAAGTACGGCATTTGCCTTCATACACTTTTAATTCGATACTTCATATGCGTCATGTATGAAAGTAATCTATGTTAGACAAGCACAGCGGCCGAGGTCTGCTGGTCAGCGCCGCTCACCCTCGAGGTGGACGTGTCCGTCGCGCACGGGCACGGTGTCGCCGTGGCGCGGGCGGCAGATGGCGGAGGTGACGGGCAGGCTGTAGACGGGCGGCGCGCGCTCGAAGTCCGCGCTCTCCCACGTCGTGGAGGGGTTGAAGGCGCGGTAGTCCTTCTTGTGCCAGTGCGAGTCGCTCTCCTCCGAGGACACCGTTATGCATTCTGACAAGTTAACGGTCGACGGCTCAGATCCGGCTCGAAGGACCGGGTGGAAGTTGTTTTCATTAAAGAAATATCTCGATTTAGCAACGTTAATTGTATTTGTAAGCGTAAGTATTGTTATTAGTAAGTGAGTCGTACCGAGCCACTTGACGCTGCGCACGGCGGGCGCGCCGGGCACGATGACGCGCAGCGGGCGGCCGTGGTCGTGCGGCAGCGGCGCGCCGTTCATGTGCGTGGCGAGCAGCACGCGCGCGCGCGCGTCCAGCGCCACGTGCAGCGGGATGGACGTGCTGAAGTTCTGCCCCGTCGCGTCTATGTCCGCGCCCGTCAGCTACACACACACACACACACACACAGTACGACAGCCGTGTATAAGATAACTATTACAGCACGAGTACAAGACTCACGATGACGTGCTTGCCCTCCGTGTCTTCAGGGTCCACGCCGCAGCTCAGCAGCACGTCGCGCAGGTACACTCCGCTCCACACGGCGTTGCTGGAGTGTTACATACGAACGGAAATATACGATTTATTCAAACGAAATCAATACATTATTTTTTAAAATGTGATATGAGAATAAATAAACGACGATAAACCTTATGGCTCCGCCTGCCCAACTGATGCCTTTGACTGGTTTCACCTGCTTCAAAATGGAAAATAAACATTTATTAGCATGTACGCATGTAAATGTATATATTTTATACACAGAATCCACGGTGGCCAACTTTCAGAAAAAAATGCCTCATTCCTTTCAATGAAACAAACACCGCCTCTTCACAAACAGCCAATAAGCCATGAGTTGCACGAGTGACGGGATAATAAAAAGCCATGTTACTGATCGGCATACTGGTACATAGCGAGGTGCGTCCTACGTGTGGGGGCGTGTGGGGGCGTGTGGGGGCGAGCGCACCTTGTCCATCTCGCTGCGGCGGTTGCCGGCGCACATGAGCGCGGCGCGCAGGCTGGCGGCGGGCAGGCGGCGCAGCTGCGCCAGGCTGAGCTCGCGCACGGCGCCCGTGGCCTGCACCGCCACGCGCACGCGGTGCGTCGCCGCCTCCAGCTCTGGAACAGGCATGTGCTGCCGCACGTAAAACAACTCGCTGCAAACAGAACAAACCAACACTGTTGTCTGCACCACATGTATATCCATCATTCATATCATTTCATATAGCATTATAGAAAATCGTATCATTGTATACTTGGAAGGAGACCGTGTACCGACAATTCTTTTGTAAGTATATCACCGCAGATTTCTTTGACTGTACTAGGACAATAATGTATTTGACATTTAGGGTCATACTTGGGAGTGTCGAAGTGTGCAATCTGGTACTCTGGTGGTATTTCTGCGTTGAATGGCTTAGCGGTTTTGACAATGAGGCGCGGGTCGCGATAGGGCTCCATGGCCCACAACTCGTCATCGCTGTGATCCACTATGTCGTCATCGTGCAGGTTCCCTGAGAAAAACATCATCTTTTTGAATGAGAAATTAATTTTTATTAGAACATTAATAAAGATATATTGGCTGTTTTACTTTAGAGGAAAACTTTGTTACCTATTCTATATGATTCGAGCAACTCAAATACTTCTTGTGTTTTGTGCATTCCATACACATTCCAGAAGGGCTCGATGCTCAGTCCGGCTGCATTGTAGATTTGTTCTCCTCCGGGGTGGGATGGCAGGAATGATGTGACGTCATACACACCATGTCTGTATGTCACCCAGAAACTATTTCTGTAAAACACAAATGACATTTTTATAAATTCAGAGATCAAATATGTTTATATCTATACCATAATCTAGTACCAACTGACTTTGTATTATGTTTGCTGATCTCCTCAGCTCTATATGTGGGTAGATTGGGCTTCTTCTCTCCGGCCTCTATTATTTTACTTGGCTCAGTCTGTTCTTGTTTGTTTGTGTTTAATTTTTCTTTACTAACATCTATAACAAAGTAATAAGATTAAATAAACCAAATATGACTTGGACTTAAGACTTAAGCATTTTAATGATATTCTTCACTAATTACCAGAAGTGGAACCCACTATAACAGATGCAAATATAGCAGCTCCTACATTACGATTAAAATTGCTATACTTCTCATCAAAGCCCTTATATTTTTTATAATTGTAGTGATTTGATAAAGCTGGCAGATAAGATAATTTGTTGCTTAGTCGCAGTGATCTGGAATTAATAATAGGCTTTACAATTGAATTCATAGATTTACAAGATTACTTTATGTAAAGATTTTATGTCACTCACCTGTACAGGTATCATACCTTTGGTATAGTATGCTAAAGTAATAAGCAAAAGTAACATAATAGAACTATATTCAAATTGTATTTAAGTTATTTTGGCTAAAGAATAGTTACTTTTCGGTAGAAAAACATGGAAAACTAATCGTCAAAACTTCCCACAAACCAATACTACTAAAATTGTTTTAAATCACCTGAGTAAAATACAAATTTACGCCATATTGCGTTTTAATCAGTGCAAATTAAAATCAACTTTATTCATAATTTCGTAAAAAATGCAATTTTTAAGTTCCACTTACCTAAGTGTTAATTTTCTGAGAGACATAACGACAAGAAAAATCCTTCTACTCTTCGTGTATCAGTGTATGGTACCACGAAATTAATCTTATTGTAAAGAGTATAATCTAATAAATTGACCTTGATAGAGTTACTGCGATATCCATGTTATCGGCTTACACAAAAATAAACATCGCGATCGCGAGTAAAAAGTAGTCAGTTCGTGTCAGTTGTCAATTGTCAATGTCAATATAATTCATTTGTATCTGTACACAAACTTTGAAAATGGACAGGTTGTGCAGTGATAATTTGTGTTTATTTGATTTTCATCAGTTTTGCACTAATGGTTGAGGTGGATCGCGGTAATTAGTTTTCGAACTAATAATAGCGATAGACTTAACTGTAATTAACATCTATAAAAGGCGCGTTTAAGTTGGAATGAAGCAAAGCGTATCATTTCCAAACCATTCGCCTATCTATTTTTACATTACATTTTTCGGTGTCAGTGTCACGTCAATGTCAAGTTTATTTAGACTTTTTAGTGTTGCTGTATAAAAAAGCGTCATGGTTCATTGATTTTTTTTGTTGTGTTTCTGTTGTTATCAGTGAATTGTTTTTTTTTTTTACAAAATTAAACTTTATTAAAATAATGTCCGCGAAAGAATTAACGAATATTTTATATAGATATCTCAACATAGCATCACAAAACCTGTTGATCCACTCAGGCTTGCCGCTGACAGTTTCGTCGATCGCATATGCAATACCAATTGTGCCGCCCATTTTAACTTCTGCCTTTCGATATTCTATATTATATAGGTTACCATACGATTTTCCCGTGGACCTTTTTCAAAATACTGATTACTGATTACGATCGGTCTCCAACATTTGGGGGCGGTACAATCTTTTTTAAGATTTCCGGCTTTTGACCGAAAGACAAGAAATTTCACATTTGGCTAAAGTAATGCACAATAGCTACTATATAAAAATCTTTATATTAAGATTTAGATTTATTAGAAACTTTAAGATGTCCATCGGTCCAAACTCTAAACCAGTAAGTTATTATTTTTGTCGCGTTGTCTGTGTGTTTGTGGGCGGTAATATTAGAAACGGCTTAACGGACTTGGATTTAGTTTTCGCTGTCGTATTCTAAAAAGTGCCACTCAACATTTAGAGTCATCTTATGCAAATTAGTACATAAAAAATTGTATCGATTGAAAATAATTAAGACTTTTTTAATTGCAACGTATGTGAATACGTCTATTATTTATTTAAATAATACTGTTAATTAGACCACAATATATACAATGAGCGAGACACTTTGAGTTATAGTGTATGGGTCGAATTACCACCCCTCTAGGTATGCCACTCGTGTGCGGTGCACGCGTTGCAAACCCATTTACTGCAGGCCTGGATCCGTTCTCTAAACAAGCAACTCTTACTAAATTCTATCGAAAGTATAACTAGCGTGAGAACATTTACATTTTCATGAAGTAATTTAAGTAAGTTCAAATGGTAATAATAGTGTTTTAAAGATTTGTTTCATTTGGAAAATGTATTTGAAAACAGCAACGCCATTACAAGAAAATAAATTAAATGCGTTACATATATTACGGACGTAAGAAAATAGGAAAATGTGCAACTCTAGTTTACTAATGAGATTTTAAAGACCCCATGCATTAGTATTTAAGTATTTTCGTTGCATTTTGTTTATATTATTTTGTTAGTGTTTATTTAATACATTAATTACCGCTTCAGATTGCAAGTAAAAAAATTGAAACTCATTCTATGTTCGACACTATCAACTATGTCTATGGACGTCAGCAGCCGATAACCTCGGCTGGCTACATAAATTTTGTCTGGTTAGCTTTTCAACGGTCACCATTAGGCCTATTTTGAACTTAATTAAATAAAGATTTTTGAATACAACGGCAGCTTGTGACTTTTCAGGACTTGTGACTTCTTTGTCGACGCGTATTCCGTCAGATTCTTTAACATATTTTAGCAAGCGTAAGATTTTTGTATTAACTTTAATGACGACAACTAAATTACAAGAATGTAATTACTCGAGCCAGTACAGGCGTTTCATTTCGAACCTTTGTAGCTAATAATAAAAAAAGCGTTCTTTTCGCAACGAACCCATTAACTCGGCAATGGCTGTCATAAAAGAAAAATTAAGCCCGCCATAAAATTTCACTCTAAATGTTAGCGAAATGAAAATATAATAATTTCGTTTCACTGAATCCGTTATGATTTATTTCTAACACTTAAGTATTTACGGTTAAAAAGCGATGAAAATACACATATGTACCTAATAAAATTTCATAATTTTCATGATATCTGCTAAATCATGTAAGATTTGAAGTTTACTTTGATTTACGTCAAGAAGAAGCGTTAGTAACTGTACGAGTATGCTAAGTGTTGATTGGTCGTCGGTGAAACATAACTTTTTTTCAACTTCAGTTATATGAATAAAGGATTGGGTTTGCCTATTTGAATATACTCAAAAAGTTCTAAGATTCTTTATAAATTTTGGTAAGTTACGAATGGAAGACTAATAAACGCAGGCAAGTTCTTTTGAAAAGAAAATTCATGGGAATTTGTACTCTTTTCAATACTTGCCAAGGATTTACCAAAAGTTATGCTACAACTTTCGTTTAGTTCCCACCGGAGGAGGGCGTAATGATCCCCACATTTATTAGTTTCTATAGAACAGGGACGCTTCTGAGAGTATTGATATTTGTCTTCTGGAGAGAAACGGTAACGCCTCATAAGTTAAGAGTATTAATAAAAGCGTAAAAAGGGACGTCAATATTCAACATTCTTAATAAAATTACGTTAAAAATAACTTCAGATTGTCATTTATTTTATGATACTCCAACTGGAGACTTACCAATTGCAGGAACACAATCTACAACTTGTTCGCAACGTGGTGTGAACGTAAAGATGACAGCTTAGTTGTACAACTAATTTTGAAGAGACATTTATGGCTTTCATATATCACAATGATAGAGTGTTTAAAATTTAATATCAATATTTTATGTCGTGGTATAAGTAATTGAAAATGTGAACTAAACCATTTTCAATTTATTATAATTCATATAAGAAATCGATTGTACATAGAAGCGCGATCAATCACGGAAAGTAAACAATCTTGAGAGCAGATCGTGCAGAACTTATAAATCATTTTTCTTTATTTACAAAGCGCCTAGTGTCTCCGCGGCGATGGAAACAATAAGCTTGTACTTGATGAAAACGTTTACATAGCTCGTAGCAACGTAGCCATTTCGTAGGACAATGTTTGATTACAAAAGTCGTCTATCATTTCAATGACATGTTTAAAAACAATATGGGGCAAGTTGACAGTTTTGCATGTTTAGAGTGGATTAACTATTCACTACGTAATCAAGTTACTATATTTTTTGGTCATAAGTTTTGTTAGTAGAAGGCTACTTACTCGTAGATATTAAATATTAAATGTTAAATCTTCATGATTTCTTAAATTATGGCGGAACTAACGGGCTCCCCACACTCAGGAACTTTGAAACTTTACCTTATCTTTATTAGGTACAGGTTTAATATTTAAGTTTTGCATTAAAAATATCATGTAAATGCTAAATTGTTATATTTAGTTACACGAGCGGGAGACTTCAAGACTATGTAGTAAGTTAAAGGCAATTGCGCGATCGATGGCAGAGTACATAGAATATGCAATGTGAGCCTCTTAGCGGCGGCAAGCGGCCCGTGCAATACAAATGGAAGACGTAACGGACACAAGTATTCGCAATTTGCAAAGATTACGGCGCCCGCTAGCGGAAAGTAACTCATATAAAATTGTTATTGGAAAAACTGTTTTTATTCGCGTTATTATTTCTACTAAGCTATGATTACTTTTTCTAATAATATCGTTTTAATGTCTTTGTTTTTCCAAAGAGTATAAAGCAGAAGTCAAATTGTTTACCTTACTGAATCAGCCGAATTAATGATATTAAGATTTCTTGTAAGAGAGGTATTTAAAATTCAAAAGTGTTCTATTGTCGTAAAATCTATTTTCTATACATGTAATAAAATTGGAGTGTCTGTTTGTAATATCAAAAGAAAAATTCCAAGTTTCGGGAAGATGGTGTATTTATGTTGCTGATAATGATAATCGTATTAAATTTTTTGTTTGTTTGTCTGTCTGTCCGAAAGCCGCGATTGTTTTTGACCGGACTTTCACTGAAGGGTAGCTGACATAGACGGGCATATTATAGGCTACTTCTATGTTAATATTACATAGACAAAGTTGCGGGCAACAGTTAGTTTTCTATTAAAATTCTATATTGAATATCAACTGTGTATATCGATTAGTTTTTGAATAACAATCTGATAAGTCTTAAGTGCTAAACTATGTAACTTACGGCTCCCTTGATAGTTGCCGCTTTACATAAAACATGCCTCAATTACAATTTAACGTTTTAAACTGATTTAATGGATTAACTAGGCGTACACATACACCGGAGAGTTTTACAAAACATAGTTTAATAAAACTAATGTAGATGACAACTAATTTAAGTGATTTTGCATATATGCAGTATCTAACTTTTATGAAATACTACCTGTTCACGTGCGGCTTCATCCGCATGAAATCATGAAAATTTTATTTTATTGTTTACATTTGTGAAATTATCAATAGCAGATGTCAAAATGACTGGACATTATAAACCTTGGCAATCTTGCTTCCTTTATGTTGGCAGCAACTTATGGCCTCTTGTCCACATTAGGGTTTTAATCCAAAATATTTACCCCCTCAATTTAATGGCGTGAAAATATATAGCCTAAAGCGTGACGCAAGTGTAGGGCTTTTTATTAAAGAAAGAATTATTCAAATTATGCTGTAATTGCTGACATCTTAAGCAACAAAGAATTGTGTGTTTACGCTTTATTATAATCGTATAGATTAGTACGCCACGTATTCTGCTGATGTATTTACACAACAGTAATCTTTTTAAATCTACACATTCATTATCACCATCTACATTATCAGCTCAGTCATATATCAATATCAGCCGTTACTGAGGAGTTTAAAACTACTCTAAGAGAGGGATGGATCATACCACTCTAACATGACAATTCTTTAAATTAAACGACGTATTCCGTCTATAGTGAATCTTGCGCGGAGGTGTCATAATTACCATGTAATTTTTGTAAATTCCTTAACATTCTGGCTTCGATCAAATCTTAAATTAATTCACATCACGTTAGATACTCAC